TAGGGAGAGATTTTACAAATACTTTTCTGTTACTGGTTTTAGTTCATCTCTGTGCTAGCGTCTTGCTGTATAGCCCAGACAGGCCTTGACCTTGTGGTGATCCTCCTGCCTTTGCCTCCCAAGTGCTGGGATAACATGTGCAGCACTTTCCTTCCTGGGTCTGTTGTCGCGCAGGCCGGGAGCTCCCGCGCAGGCCGGGCGAGTTGTTTTATTCTTACATACTAGGGAGATTTTACAAATACTTTTCTGTTACTGGTTTTAGTTCATCTCTGTGCTAGGGTCTTGCTGTATAGCCCAGACAGGCCTTGACCTTGTGGTGATCCTCCTGCCTTTGCCTCCCAAGTGCTGGGATAACAGGTGTGCAGCACCATGCTCTGCCTCTGTGCTAGCTTCAGTTGCTTGTTTTTCTTTCTTTCTTTCTTTTCTGAGATTGGATCTCACTATGTTGTCCAGTCTGATCTTGAACTCCTGAGCTCACATGGGTATAATGTAGTATTTTAAAATCTTTTCTGCTGGGTGCAGTGGTACCCACACATAACCCCTGCATTTGGGAGGTTGAGGCAGGAGGATTGCTACAAGTTTGAGGCCATCATGGACCACATAGCGAATCTAAAAGTCAAAAGCCAAAATCAAAACCAAAACAACTTTTCCATTTTTTTTTTGACAGGATCTTTCTATGTCCCTCAGGCTGGCTTTGAGCTCACTGAGATCTTTCTATCTCAGTCTTCTGAGTGTTGGGATTATAGATGTGTGCCACCATGTTCAGATGATTTAAATTTAAATTCTTTTTAAAGGTAAAAAGCTTAATTCATCTCCTAAGAAAAAGAGAGTAACAAGGAAGACAGAATATATCAAAAAGATGCTGCTGCTAGGTGTGGTGGTGTTTGCTTGTAATCCCAGCACTCAAGAAGCTGAGAAAGGAAGACTATTGCTAATTCAAGACCATTCTGTGTACCAGGGTGAGCTCAAGGCTATCCTGAACTATATAGTAAGACCTTGTCTCAAAAAAGCAAAATCAAAAGCAAAACCAAACCAAACCAAAACCCCAAAAGATGCTGCAATGAAATCAAGAAGGTATTTGTGTTAGAACAGACAAACGTGACAAGAAGAAAAGAAGGGGGAACCTAAATAGATTTGCTGATAGAGTAAAATAATTGAAATAAATAGGAAAATAATATGTATGTATATAAATGCAGTGACAGATGGAAACATGGGCAAATGTCTGGTAGGCTATTAATATGCATTAACTGGGTAATGTGAGGCAGGGAAGAAAAGGGGTGGAGGAGGGAAGCCAATTGAAAAAGAAAAGGAGGGGCCAGGAGTTGAGCTCAGTGGTACTGCACTGGCCTCGCAAATGCAAGGTCCTGAGTTTGATCCCTGGTACAAAAAAAAAAAAAAAAGGAAAAGAAAAAGTACTGTATTAACCCAAAATATACAATGTAAAATATTATTAAACATGTAAGATATTATTCAATTACATAAAGATATACTTATTTAAAAGCAAACATTGAATAAATTAAAAATACATTAAGATTTGAATAGAAATGTAATTACCTTCTTGGTAATTACATCTGTATCAGTTTGTTTTAGCTGATGTTCAATTAAAAAGGTAAAATTTATTTTATTTCTAAATTATTTGTGTATGATGATTAACATTTACATATGTATTTGCATTTTTGTTGTTACTCTTCTCAATTCATAAAAATCAATGGGTCATTTCAGCATAAGACAGTTATAGAAATAGGAATTTAAATATAATAATTAAAAATAATCATATAAATTAGTCCTTCAATGTGGAAAGAGAGAGTGAATCCATAGTGCTAAGTGACTTTTGTCCAAGTAATCAAAGAAGAAAAGTGTCAGTAGATATCAAATTTTAATTCCTTTATGGTTATGTTTGCTCATCCATATCTGCTGTATAAAATGATTACATTCATCATGGGGAGATGGTACCTTTTCATAACACTTAATTTTTACTTCCCCTTGCTTTCTCCTTCCTTCCTCTCCCTCCATCTTTAGATCCCCTTCCTAGTTTACAAAGTCTCTGCCTTCCTTTTTTTTATATTATCTATCTTTAAATTATTTATACTTTGAGTTTCTCATTTAAGAGAAACCATGTGATATTTCTGTTTCTGTATCTGATTTATATCACTTAACATTATGGTCTCAATGTGCATCTGTTTTCCTACAAATGACTCAAAGTTAATTGTTTCAATTACTTCTAACTTGATTAAGCATTTGTATGAAATATGGGTATCAAATCTAAGATCTAGTCTCCTGCTTGATGTAGCGATAATTTTCTGGAATTATGAGATGAAGGAGCACAGGGGAGGATAACTGCTAGAAGTAACAATCACTGTTATTGCGATTCTCCAAATGGTAGTTGCAATCTTTGTCAAAAACCTACCACTCACCTACAAACTACAGTTTGGATGGCAAAGTTATTTTGGAGCAGATGCTTCTGATTCTGTGTTTTCCAAAAAGATTATTTCTGATTTTAGAAACCCTGACTTTTACTGGAGGCTCTGAGAGAATGAACATATCTTTCTAGTATATTTCTGAAAAAAATCCAGGAAAGTGAGCTTTACCATTTTGGTTTAGATCTCAGCGTCCAAGTGGAACACCCCACTAAACTTCTCCAGAAAGGGAGATTTGAGCATTAGGGCTGCCTATGTCTTACACATACTTCCTCTTTCAGTGATGTGATCATTGTTCGTTGTTCTTTGGATCATCTCTGAGAATCTATATCTTTCTCTGAATGTTTGCAATTGTTTCCACTGGACATCTTCTGTCCTTTTTCAGATGACCCAGATGCCCTACTGAAAAACATTTCCAGGGAAATAATGGTTCCTCTTCTGTGAGGCACACTTATTTTCTTTTCTGGGTTTAGCTGTGGCTCCTGGCCTGTATGCTGCTTTTTATTGCTTACAGGGAAGGGCAGAGATATAATCAAATTGTAGCCATGCTGGCTGCTGCCTCAGGTCTTGACCCTGGCCTCCCAGTTACCATAGGTACTTAGTCCACAGCCCTGGGCAGGAGGCATTTTACACAAGACACCACTACTGGGAAAACCAGTCCTTAGTGCTAACTTCTCTTATCTGTCCCTTTCCCACATGGCTCAAGATCATCCTCTCCTCTGTAGCCATATTCCTTACAAAATTTGCTCATGTGATAGAGTTGCTATTCCTGTCATGTACCCTTCCAATGCTTCTGGGTAGAACAGAGGAGAAATTCCGTGGCAGCACTTTTGCTGTTTTGGAACGTGAATCGCTTCCTGTGAGGATTTTTCTGCTCATCTCTCTTGACCTCGCACATGCTCCACACTAGTATCACTCATGCCACTTCATCTACTGGTTATCCATAGTATGGAAGATGGGATTAAATTGAGACGAACATCTCTGAAGACCTGTGGGTAATATCAGCTTGTAAGACTTGCAGTTGTAAGTCCTAAACAGCAGTTTGGCTGAGAGAGATGTTTCCTGAAATGTAAGAAATGAGATTTAGAAACTGGAAGAGATGGCGTCCTCCATGCTCCGGTACTGGGGATCAGTCTCGGGACTTTGTGCTTGCCAGGCAGGTGCTGGGCTACTGAGTTAATCCCTGGCATGAGAAATTAGACTTAGAAATTGGAAGGATTAACTCTGACATGGAGGAGGACAACAGTTGTCGGCACTGTGACATGAAGCTTGATGTCAGCAAATAAAGGGAGTTATTTAGTTAGTAGGTCTCAAGTCTACTTGTTCAGCGGTGCTGAGCAATGATGTGTTGCGAATGTGTTTTACAGGCTTCAGATATATTATCCTTGTGCAGCCTTAAAGTGCTCAAGGTCCGACCTTCTCACCGGCATGGGTCACCCTCTTAATAACTTTCAGTGGCCAACTCTGAGGCTGCTCTACCCATGTCGTGAACAAATCCACTACAAGTTGTCGGCCTTGAATTTCTACAATGTCTCAATGCCAGTGTCATATCCATTTATGACAGTGGTCACTGGGGGTGGAAAGTAGCTTATAGGATAGCTAGCTGTGTTTGTATGTGCTTAGCCATCTTCAGAAGTAGGAAGTTCTAGGATTCAAGTTATATTTGATTGTCATAGTCCATGTCCCCATATGCTATTCTATTCTTGAGCCCTCAGCCCTGGAACCATCATACCAAGAGATTCTTCCTGGACTTTGTCCCACACAGGGTTGGCTAGCCAAGTGCCAACTCTGACCCTGGGATGCGATGACACATGTTCCCTTTCCACATTCTGTATGTCTTAGGGGAGAAGGAATTAGCTAGGGACCCTTATGGTATTTTATGATTGCTTCATTTGTATTGGCCCTGAAGATCCCTTTGTTCCTAAAGTAGGCCTGGTACACTCTGCTTCCTAGAACTAGCCTCACAAGAAACAAAGGTATAAGCAAAGCTAAGGGGAAACAGAATTATGCTTGGAACTTTTCTATAGGCAGAGAACAATACTTGGTATTGACTAGATATTGAGGAAGGGGAAGGCAAGTAGGGTGAAATTATGGAAGGAAGCTGGCAGGGTCATTGTTTCTTTCTTGACATGACTCGTCTTTCTTCATCCTCTTCCTGGATGTAGGGCTTGGGGCCTGTGTTCCTGAAGTTTTCTCCGTGAATAAAAGGAGGTGAAGCTGAGTAGTGTTTCCATTTCAGGTTCTCAGTGTTTCCATTTCAGGTTCTCAGGGTAGCCAAAATGATGTTCTCTTTCCCTCTGTTACTGGTGAGCATCTGGTTTTCTGCCATGCAGGCCAAGCAATTCACAAAATGTTCACTGTCTCAGGAGCTGAATGACCTTGCTGGCTATCGAAACATCACTTTGCCTGAATGTGAGTTCTCTTTTCCCTCATTTCATCCCGCTCCTCACCTTTTTCTCCTTATCCATCTTTTCTCATTTTCTCTCCTCCACTTTCTCTTTGTTAGCTAATAATTTTCTTACATTTTCAGTTTATGGTCTGCTTTTGTATTCAATTTGTTCTCCTGTTTTTCCTTTCTGCCAGTGTCTGATCCTTTTTGAAACTATCCTCAACTCAACCTCTCTCTCTATCTCTCCCTCTATCTATCTCTATCTCTATCTATAATATGAACTGCAGTTCCTACTGTATGCTGATCCTAGGCATCCCCATGATGCTTCTTCCTTGTGTTTCCCCCAGGGATCTGTATCATATTTCACATCAGTAGTTATGACACACAAACCATAGTGAAAAACAATGGCAATATGGAGTATGGACTTTTCCAGATAAGTGATAAAGATTTCTGTGAGAGCAGCTGGACCCTTCAGTCAAGCAACACCTGTGACATATCCTGTGACAGTAAGTAGACTCTTTTACCCTGTTAGTTTTTTTTTTCTGGAGCCCTTCCTTGGGATAATCTCTTTTTGGGGGTCAAATACACTTCTAGCTTCAATACCTTGGTTAGAATCCACAAAATTATGTGACTTAGAGTAACATTGCTAAGTAAGAAGATATTTGGTTGTTTTGTGATCACCAAGTACCCTGACAGTCCCCTCAAGTTCAGAGGCATGCATTCCGGAATTCTCTGGGAGTCTTAAAGTCAGATACTCTGCATTTTCAGGATCTCAATGGATAGACTTGATTTCTCCAGCCATATTCTGGGGTATTGAAGAAAGTCCTTACTCAGGAGGAGGCATTACTATATTGACCCTTCCATATAGAAAGATACTAAGTATAATCCTTCATTGCAGAGAAGAACTAGACCCAGGGAATAGGGGAACTCAATAGCTCTCTGGGTAATACCTCCTAACTCTCTCATTGCTTTTTGTACAATTCCTGCCAGAGTTCTTGGATGATGACCTTACTGATGACATAATGTGTGTCAAGAAGATTCTGGATATCAAAGGAATTGACCACTGGTGAATCCTTATTTTATTTTCTGTTATTCTCTACCCTCCTTCCCTTTAACCCCTTGGTCCATCACCACTCTCCCCTCTATCCTTTGATCATTTAATCTGGAATATAGTGTTCAAAACAAAAGTCATCTAGCAGACTCAGGTTTCCATTTTTAAGCCTCCCTTTCTCTGGTCTTTATGGACAACTTTTCTAACACAAGTTCCCTAGTGGAGGGCTGATATCCAGGCTTCTTCTCACCTGGCCTTTAAGGGTTTCTAACACCGCTTGTCTAAATTTATACCCTAAAGCAAGCTCTTGGTATCATTGCATATCTTGGACTGCAACTACCTTACAGTTTTCTTGGATTTTAAAAAAATGGACTTTACTCTTCTAGATGACTTTGTATCCCTTACCATCTGTCTAGGAAAATCTTTCTGTGATTTTTCATCCACTTTAGCCTTCCTGAGGATGAATTCAAAACTCAAGATAAATTCATTCAAAACTCAAGATAAGACCTAGTCAGCCAACTCACCTTGTCCCTTTCTCTGTTATCAGGTTGGCCCACAAACCACTCTGCTCTGACAAGCTGGAACAGTGGTACTGCAAGGTTTTTTGAGTGCCTGCCGTCTTTTGACACTGCTGTCCTCTCCATACATCCAGAACTCCTCTTCTCTCATGCTACCTCAGTTTGTCTCTTTTTACCCCAAAGATGATTTGTCTCTGAGCCCTGGATCCTGTAGTGATGCTGTTTGACTCTTGAGGACTGTTCTCTAACCCTGCATGTCCGGTACATTGGACTTCAGACACCTGCTCAGTGCCCCTGATGGCACTTTAACTAGACCAACAAATCCCACCTCTGTCCTGAATAAAGAGCCTGATTTGGAGTGTTTGGCTATATATTTTTTTCTATAAGGAAAGGGAGGAAATAGAGTGGGTGGGTGGGGACAATGAAGCCATGGTTCATAGCCATATTCCTTCTTCATTGAGAAGTAGGCTGAACTTACCACAGAAAGATGCAGATTACCTTCTGTAGCACTTACACACACTTTTATTGGTCACCTAATAAGTTAAACCATAGAGGAGTTCAGAGTTGCTCAAAGGACTAATAGAAGAAGCAAGACAAATATTAATAAATAGTCATAATACACAGAATAGTATTAGAAGCACCAGGAGAGGAATTAGAAATGTGCCCAGACACTTAGGAAAAGAAAGATCATTTATATTTTGGGGTTCATGAAAAAAATAAGGGATTAATGGAAAGGCCGGAATTTAAGCTGGTTTTAAAGTATAGATGGATCTTTGACAGAAGGAGATGTGGAGGGGGGAGGATAGAATGGGTAGGGGATCCAAGGAGCTAAAATGAATGGTTTCAGAGGATGAAGAACTTCGTTACCTGTTAAGGAGATCTGTGAATACTCTCTCTGGATATCACAGATATATAATGGTGACCTTTATAGTTATTCAGTGAATCCTAAGAATTTATGCACCTAGGCCTTTTGGTTTAGACCCTCTGTCCCACCATTCCTTGACCTTTGCTTGTTTTTATGGAGGATGTTGGCAGAACTTTATTCCAATAGTTTTGGGAGGTGTGGAAGAAGAGTCGGGAGATTTGGGTCCTAAAGTTTGTTTGTGCCTCTCGTTGATGTCCTGAATGTGGGCAGATCACCTCCGTCCTCTGAGATTCAATTTACTCATCTTAGAATGAATGTTTTGTATGGAGGGCTTTTTGAGATTTCTTGCTTTGACATGCATTAATAAGTTTAATTTACCACATTTATGGATTATTGAGAAATAAAATTCACATTGTCTTCCTATCTTCTTTGCCTTCCTAAGATGTCTAATATTGCTTATTGTCCTCTTCCCACCCCAATACCACCTGTGGCTTTCACCAGTTAGGTCATGCTTCCCTTGCCTTTACAACAAGCCACTGACTCCCAAAAGTTTAGAAAAGTTGTAGATGAGCCAGGCATGGTGGCACACACCTGTAATCCCAGTACATGGGAGGCTGAGGCAGGAGGATCACTGTGAATTTGAGACAAGCCCGGGCTACATAGTGAGTTCCAGGTCAGTCTTAACTACATAGTGAGACCCTGTCTTAGAAAAAACAAGCAAACAAAACAAAAACAAAAAACCACCAACCGAACAAACAAACAAAAAGAAAAGTTGTAGATGTAGACATAGGGTGAGGAAGCCAATTCCCTCTATACTTACTGAAAGCAAACTCTCAGGAAATAACTTAATATTAGTCATTTAATTTTAGTGTGAATTTAAACACAATGTGAAATATCTTTAGTAGCATTTCATGTTTTCCCTTCCTAACTATGGGACAACAAACTTCTCTCAAGTTTTCAGGGTCTATGCATGCCCTGTGTATTGTGTCTGTGAAAGGGTAGAGCTGGATAGACATCAAGCCCACCGATGTTGCATATCTACTTCTTACTCATTAACTGGCCACAGCCATGTGCTTTGGAAACTATGAGGGACCAGGTCCACCAAAAGGCTAGAGAAGACTTTAGCCTGATTGGAGGTTCAAGAACAGATAGAGACCAGGAAGCTGTCATAAAAGACAGCAGTCTTTAAAAATTAAAAAGTCCATTCGATTATTTTACTTGGGTTATCTACAATGCAAATATTTGTGGATCCTGCTGTGCACCAGTACTATGAAGCAATTTTTATGTATATTTTTACTCAGTTCAATTGTAAAATGATGTGGAAAATAAAGCAAATAATAGAACAACTTGCTGTGTTCTTTGGTAAAGCACCATTTGAAGGCATTTGGAGTCTACATTAGTAATTTACAAGCAAACTCCTATTCCTAGTCTATACTTATTTTTCCTAGATTATATATTTCTTTTGTTCCAAAGAACACTGAATTATGAATTCTCTTATAAATAAGTTGCCCCCCTTTTTATCCAGTCAAGTGTAGCTAGATTATTTTTATGACAGTCAATGATAGTATTTCCTCTTTTCCTTCTTTTCCTCTGCCTTCTTCCAAGTAAAAATTATATACATTTAAGATGCAAACTTAATGTTGTGAAATGATCACCACAATAAAGTTACTCTTCTTTTCCTCCTTTTCTCCTTCTTCTCCTTCTGGAAGCACCAAGGATTGAACCTGGAGCTTTATGCACACTAACCACATACTGTCCCATTGAGGCTGCATCCTCAGCTCTTAACGGAAATAGTATTGATGATTGAAGACCTCTTGGCCTTTGTGTAGAAACAGGATAAGAAACTTCTGCTTTCTTCCTGAGAATTTACTGAAAACTGAATATCCAGTAGAATGGCAGTTGGGCATTTGCTTTATATTCTCCAATTCCTCTTGTTGTGCTCAGATCGCGATATCCCCAAAGACCACCAAGGAGTCGAGTCCTATGCAATCACATGAGGAGTTTGTTGCAAGCTTGAGCCTGGACCCCCAGACCTCACCGATGCAGCAGTTCCCGACCGAGAGTCCCGTACCCGGTTTCAGCCAGGCTTTTTATCAGAGAAGGAGCAGAACTAGGGGCTTTCTAGACAGGTCAGTGCCTGATTGGTTAACATTTTTGAAATGCAGTCAGGGGATAAAGGTCTGCTGACTTGAGTTGGTGGTCAGCAGTCACACATTGATAATTAACAGATACCTATAGGATGGTTCAAAGGCCACCAAGACATTCAGGATGAGCAAGCAGTTCGACAATTAACTTGGGGTCTCTATGTATTTCATAGTATAGAACCATTAACTTGTACGTTAATCACGTTCTGGACTGCAAACAGTACAAGCTTGCCTTACATTCCTAAGCCAGGGTTAGAACAAAGGTCAGGGCTATGACTACAATGGGAGGGTTTTTTCCAGTAACTGGGTGGTGCCCTGATCACAGAATGGAGTAACTTTTTCAAAATGGAGTCAGTTTGGGCTCTACACTCTTTTCTCTAGGTCTGGAATGAGGTCCTGAACCAAGGCATGGATTAAAAGTGTTCTACTTAAATGTGGGGCACCTCAGGGAAATGACTGTCAGAATACAGTCCATTGGCCAAGATTTGTGTGAAGAAGATTGAGAATGGTGCTCTACCACACGCAGCCTCTTTCTCCTTTCTTGATTTCTCTTCCCTGCTACTTTCCTCTGACACCTTCTTGTGAAAGCAGGAGTTTAACCGCATATTATTAAATGCTCCTTTTCATATGTACTCTTATTTCTCCTTCCCTTTTGTCATTCATTTTCCTTTTCATTTACCTAACAATCCTGTTAGATAGCAGGATGTACTAGATGTTCAGACACAGAAGATACTAGATAGAGGCTCTCCTCACCGGGCACTTTTTAGAGGGGGATATTCACCTTGTCCTTCTTCCTAGGATCATGCAAGAGAAAGATCTCCTCAGGTGGATGAATGACTTATTCCTTCATTCATTCCTTAAGTTGTCCATAAGCAGTGAAGTTTTGCTAGGATAAGGGGGCTACTTTAAAGAATTAAAAGTTAAGTGGTTACTTTTATTTTTTAGAACCAAAATATGCAACATTTAATAACTGCAAATGTATTTATTACAATTTACAGATTAAATTATATACACAAATAGAATTTTAGCTCTAAAATCCCAATAAACAGCTTTGAAGTGGATGATTTAAAGTTTCTTAAGGGGCTACTTTTAAAGAATTGAGACAAGAAGAGACATATCTTATTCTATTTCTTTTTAAGTTATTAAGGAGAGTAAATTTTGCTAGGGATCCTTTGGAATGGGGACAAAAGGGAATTAGCTCTCACAGTATCTAGATGGAACTTCACCAGAATGCAGTGGGGTGTTAGTTGTCTGATGAGTTGATTCACATTTTGTGCATAGACTACAGTAAAGGGAACATGCAGATGGAGAAAAGGGTATGACACAAAGGAGAAGGAAAAAAGATATAAAATCAATAGCTGTAGAAATGGCCAATGAAGCCCTAAGATTTTCTTGTGCAGTGAATGTTACCAGCTCTATTGTGGAGCTTGTCTGAGGACAGGTCCTAGGATGAAGAGAATACAGATCTTCTGTTTCAGAAAGGTTGATAAACCAAAACAGCTGAGTGGTGATGGTGCTTCTGGGTTCTTCCCTGCTCCTTTTTCCCCCCGTAACTTTTCCTCCTGGTGAAGCAGAGGAGTCTGGGTTAGAAGGTCAGCCTGGACTTTCTGGCCAGCACTCTCTTCAGAGCTGCCTTCACCTCCTTGTTCTTCAGGCTGTAGATGAAGGGGTTGAGCAGAGGGGTCACCACACTGTACTGCAAGGATAACACGTTCTCCAAAACTGAGCCAGGTGCTGGAGTCATGTACCTTGTAGGGGGTTGCACAGAAGAGCACATTGAGTTCAGGATAATTGCCACAATACAGATGGCAGCAATGGATCATTGCTCAGAACTGAGTTGACCATCAATGGTGGTAGCATCTGGAAATGACTGATCAGTGAGAAATTAGTCATTTCTGCTCTCAAATGCCCCCAAACACAGGTGATCTTATGCAGACAGCTATAGGAGCTGCATCAGGAAAGAAAAGCTCTGCAGCTTATCAAGGGCTGCAAATTAAAACAGAACTAATAAAATAATTTCATGAATTTCTGTGGCACTCCATACTTTTCAAAGCATTATGACTAATACTTATAATGATAATGTGAATTTTTCTCTTTTTCCTTCCATGTACACATTCGTAAAGACATACTATGTTCTCATCTTGTGATGATTATTGCCTGCACAGCTACATATTTAGTTCATATAATTTTTATAACACTTAGTGGTGTGCTGGGTGTGCAAAGCAGAGGATCACTATGAGTTCAAAGCCGAACTGGGCTGTATAGTGAATTTAAGGCCAACCTAAACTACATAGTAGGACCCTATCTCAAA